GAAATGGATAAACTGTGGTATATTCATACAAGGGGATACTATATACCAATAAAAACTAAAGGGTTACAGATGTATGCAATAATGTGAGTGAATCACAGGAACAATTCTGAACTTTTTAAAAAGGAAATAAACACAAGATGTTTCCACGTATACAAAATGTTAAACATATAATTTAAGTAATATAGTTTATACTGCTAGAGGTACAAACACACATGGTGATAGTATAATGAAAAGCAAGGGAAGTTCAGAATGGGGGGGCAGGGAGGTGATACCAATGAAGCAGCTGATAGGAAATTTCAAAAGTAATGATTTTCTTTTCCTTAAACTAGAAGGTAAGTACCCAGGTGCATCTCCATTGCACTGCTAATTGTTCATGCCTTAGACATATTTTATTATTATTCTTTTGTATCCATCCACTATTGAATCACAATGACTTTTAAAAGAGTAACAGGACACTTCTGGACCCCAGGTGATTTCTCTCCCGTGTACCCAGCATATTTGTAAATTGGAGTCCACGAGTTTCTGTAGTCAGAATCACCGTTAACGATGAAGGTATGGTGATTTTGCCCGTTTTTACTATGCCTGGTCTTAATTCATCACTTAACTCATCAAATTTGTCAGCCAGGTTTCTAGGCCTGACAAATCAGAGACTGAGGGGAAGGCTCGGAAAAGAGTTTCTGCATAAACAAATAAAACACTTACCAGTTTTCTTTAAAATTATAAAGTTAACTAGATATGACTGCAATAATAATAATAATAATATGAGAATTTCCAAAGTAAATAATTTCTATTCTATTATTGGTTTGTCTCAATAACATGAATGTAAAAATGAAACAACAAATTAACTTCACTAATCTAACCTTTCATGATGAATGTTTAATATAAATAGCATATTAATATACACATAGCCTGTTTATATACATTTCTGGCATAAAGAAAAGAGAAATTACAGAATAACACTAATTCTGGTACTTAAAGCCTGTTTTGATTATTTAAATCTCTTGCACATAAACAAGACAGAAATGTAATATCTGGGGCTTTAAATTAAACCTCTGAAGGATATGACCTCATCTATTTGGGTCCAAATATAGGCCACACCCAAAGATATGACAATAGCTGGCCTGAGGTATTCAGACTTATATAAAATCCTTTTATAATACTCATAATGGTAGTTCTAATGTTTGTTAAAAAGCCATTACTTCTAAAGTAGCCCATTTTGTGTATTCATCTACCTGCCTATTCGTAAATATTTACTGAAAGGCTCAGTGTAGCACAATACAAGGGGCTGAGAAAGAGATTGAAGTGTTAAGATGAAGTATTTACTGTCCACTAAATTATAGCCCAAACGGGGACCATGGCACACATACTATGCAACGGTAAATTAAACACCAAATGGGCGTCAGACATCAAAGGCAGAAAAGGGGGTGTCCCGGATACCGGGAGGTGAGCTGCAACCTCAGGGAAGGGTTGACACAGATGGAGAAGTGGTATTTAGGAGGAAGAAAGGACAAAAGGACAAAAGGACAAAAGGAAGACAGTTCGGCCGGAACCTCGTCAGCAGTCAGATTGCTGGTGTGACACTGCAAAGGTAGGAGACATAACAGGCTCTGATGGATACCTGAGTTTGCTTTGTGGCTTCCAGCCCCCGGTGGGAGCGCTCAGCAGCCTGGAGCCCCCGAAGCCCAGAGGAGGAGGTCTGCTCAGGGACTCGAGCGAGGGGCTCTTGCGGAGATAAGGGTCTGGTCTCAGGTCCTCAGCCCTTCCCTTCAGAAGATCTGTGGGGACAACAGAATCACCCGTGTGAGGAGGAGAGACCCGACGGGCCACCACACTCTCCAGTACAATCTTCACATCAGTGTCACGTACAAATGCACAACAGACACTGACTCACTGTGCTGTGCACCTGAAACCAACACAACATTTTAAATCAACTACACTCCAGTAAAATTATTTTAAAAATACACAACAGATACAGATGGAGATACACAGATACACTTTTTGGACTGAGTGATGAAAATGCAAACAGGGACATGGTGTTTTCTAGAAAGGATTCTCCAGGCAGGACTGGCTCTGTAATTCATAGGGACTAATGCCAAGTTAGCCCCTCGTTCAAAAATTACTCTGAATTTCAAGATGGCACCAGCAGGGCACTGAACAGAGATCCTGCTTCTAAGAGCCTTTGGCAGGTGCACAGGTGGCCAGGCCCATGAAGCCAGCCCGGCCCCTGGTGAAGCGCCATGTTCTAATGAATGCGCATCTGAGGGAGGGCGCCAGCAGGAAGACCTCTAGTGGGATTATCGGGTCAAAATGCTGGGAAGAGGAATGACACCCATTTCCCAGGACAGGAAGCCATGCCAACCACAGGGCCTGGCTTGCCAAAAATCAGTCACGATATTTCTTCTAAGGCTCCTCTCTGCTGTCATATTAGTCTGTGGCGAAACAGCTAATGAAACAGCCTAACCCTCCAGAGGATATTTCCTAAAGGATCACAAAAGTGTAGAATGGGAGAAAATTCCCAAGACTGTCTAGTTTGTATGTGCAGAGGATTTGGGAGCAGGAAACTGGTCACTTGCTTGATGTCATACACAGCTGGGGACCAGGCCGAGCCCAGGGTCCCTCCTCTGACGCCACAGTCGTGGAGAAAACAATACTTGTACAGCTGATAGCATCAATTATGGGTGCTCAAGCTGGGAGTGAGGCTAATTAGCTGGGAAGAGCAGAGAAAAACAGAGTTTACATCACTAAAGGGAACAACAAAAACAGTGTATTAACCTCAGTCCTGCAGCTTCTGGGGACGTGATGCTGCAAGGCTGGCCAGAAAGCAGGCAATTGTCACCGTGCGGTCCTTTCTGAACCAAGTAAACAGAATCACCTGGGTGGACAGGGGCCTGCAGGGGGGAAAGGGGGGTGGCTGAGGATGAACTATTTACTTCCGGGCAATGGCCACTGTGGTCTCAGCGTCAGTATTTATCTTGCCAATGAAAAGAACGGTTTCTCTACACAAAGGAAATTTTAGAGCTGGAGGAACAGAGATTACCAATACTGAGACCAAAAGTTCACCTGATGCACTGAAAAATGGTTCAGATGGTAAATTTGATGTTACAGATATTTTACCGCAATTGAAAAAACATAACACACACAGCCCTGTGCTTATAACCAAGTTATTCCTATTTCACACTATGTGGCAAACAAATGTGGAGAACTCAGCGCCGGCACCCCCTCTGGTTTTCTTATTCCTCTGACCCTGGACAACCCGTGGTCTCTGGTCACCATTTCCTCTTCCTGGAAGTCATTATGACAACTTGAAGTCCTATACAAACCGTGACCACTTCTTTATGAAGCTGCTATCAGAGCGATCGCCAGCCTCATCACCAGAAGGCAACCGGGTAGAAAGAATCGGGAAAAAATCCTATCCTGGTCCCAGAGCTACTCAAAATCAGTGTGGTCTTTGTAAATTGCTTAAGCTCTTCAGGGCTTGAGTCTCTTACCTGTAAAATGCAGGAATGGACCAAGGTAATCTTTAAATTCTCAATGTCGGGGTTTATCTAAGGCTAAAATCCTATTATTTCCATGAAAAAGAAAAAAATTCAGAAGGGAAAAAAATAAGGTGGTGAGGTGAAACAGTTTACAGTCAAAGCGTGAAACTTATCTCACAGAAACAACTATTTTAAGGATAAACCTGCGTTTGACCATGACCTAAAAAAAGGATAGTGGGGATGTCTTTTTTATTCACCATGTCACAGAAACTGTCTGACACTTAAGACACAAAGGATTTCTCTCCATGTGGTCTAGATTTCTGGCTTTCTCTCCTTCTAACAGGCACCAGGAATAAGTCAGTGTTCTTTTCATTGCTTTTGTTTCCTCATAGCAGCGACCTCGCGGCCAGCCATCAATTTCCAGGGTGCATGTTCTAGACAGCCGGAACCTTCCGCTGACGCCTCCCGGCTCTGGGGTGTGAGCTGACGCCACAGGCGACAGTGCGTAGGTGACAGAAGCCCCTCCGCGGCTCTGTCCCCAGCCCGGCTGGGTTCACTCAACCCTCCAGGCCGTCCCGCGAGGCGGACGGCACGATTTCTGTTTTGGAGATGGGGGAACCCCAGCGCCTAGGGCTGGAACAGCCGGGCCAGAGCTGGACTGTAGGCAGCAGGGGGGCCAAGGTGCAAGCCCACACGCCGTCCCACCCCGGTTCCCCCTTAACAGCTCCTTCACATTGGCCATCAGCACGGCACGTGCAGCAGGAGCGAAAATGAGGCGCGTGAGGCCCTGCGGTCACGAGCAGCGCTTCACCGTCGGGATCCGAAGTTTTAGAAACATGGCATAACAACAGGAAGAGGTCTACGCTCAGAGACAAAGACGGCTCAGAAGAGGCATGTATTAGGTACTGTGGGAGCGACAGACCTTCAGAATCAGATTAAGATTTTTTTTCTCAAAATAGTTACTTTTAAAGATGAGACAGTCTCCTGAGACTTAGTTAAAAGAACAGACAAAAGACCTCCAGAGCCTGACATTTCTCCCAAACTCACGCACCCTGAGAAGTGCAGCCAGCAGAACACAGCTGGGGTCTTGTGTCCGTAACACATACACTCAGAATTTGAAACTGTTTGCGACAAATGCCACTTACTGCAAATAAATGATTCTTCTTCTAAGCTCAGTTTCATGCAAGGAAAAGAAGAAAGGTTAACCTCACAACACGTAAGTCAAAGCTGCTTCCTGTTTAAGGTGATTTACCTGAGAGGGGAAGGTCTGGGAGATCCACGCGCTGACTCACTCCTTTGCTGGCCGGCCGAGCACTACTGAAGGTTGAATGCCTCTGAAACCAAAAGGTACCCGCACATAGGTGGACGTATCACGCCAGGGACAGCACGAGCAAGGGGTGTGTGCGTGTGTGTGCGGGTGCGTGTGTGCGCACGCGCATATAACAGTTCTCAAGCTCGTTAGAATCCCCAGGGGGACCTTTTAAAACGACTTCTTTATTTGAATAGGTAACAGATCCTATGAGGAACAGAAGGGACACAGAGTGAAAACAAAGTCTCCCTTTCACTCCCATCACCCAGTTCTTCTCCCTGGGGTAACTGTTATTAACCAGGTTTGTGAACATCTTCCTGGAACAGTCTACGTATATTCGAGGATGCGGGTAAAAAACACTGGTTTTTTTTTTTTTTTTTTTTTTTTTTTTTTTTTTTTTTT